GTCTCGCACAGCAGCTGTGGTTCTGCGCCCCCCTGACTCCTGGAGCATCAGAGGAGGAGTGGGGGGTCCCCTGGGCAGCGGCCTCGCCAGCAGAGCCCTGCCTGAGGCAGATTAGCTGGACCTCATCTGCCTGGTCAGTGGAGGATTATGGCCTGGGTCAGCCGTGGAGACTCAGGGAGCCTGGGATGCAGGGGCCGGGCCCCCTCCCAGAACCCCTGCCCAGGAAGATGGGGGCACCGAAGCCCCCCGGGGTGGCGGCGGGAGACCCTTGATCAACCAGTGGCTGAGAGCCCAAGGGCGTGGCCTGGGGGGAGAGCTTGGGGGGGGGGGGCTTTGCGGGGGGGAGGCGAGGGCACCTCCAGACTGGAGCCAGCTCTGGGGAGGGGAGAGAAGGAGGGACAGGTGTGAGCTGGGTTCGAGGAGAGGCAGGCTTTGGGGCGGGAGTGTGTGGTCCAGGGCCACGGAGGGGATGAGGGCAGTGACCACAAGAAGGGTCAGCAGGAAGGAGGGGTAGGTATCACACGGGGCCCAGGGCACCGAGAGTGTGGGCCACTGGGCCTCGGCCGGGGCTACCCCGGCCTTGCTCTGGCCTGATGCTCCCGGGGCTTTCTGGTTCCCCTTCCCCCCCGCCCATCACAGGGGCTCCGGCAGCCTGTGTCTTCCTGAGGACGCCCAGGACGGAGTCCCCTTTCCAGTTCCGCGCAGAGCCACCTCCTGCAGGGACAGAGCCAGTGCCTCCTGGGCAAAGTTCCTAACTGGGTTTGGGTACTTGATTCTGAGTTGATGACGGGACCCTGGTTCTTGTGCTCAGCCCAGGTGACCCGTCCTGTCTCCTCAGAGCCTGCGCCAGCTACTCTCCCTGACCCTGGACCCAAGGGAGTGTCCCGGGCTGCCCGGTCTCTGGTGCCCTCTGGCCCTGGCTCTGTGGCCTGGCCCGGGCTCCGCCCCTCTGGCTGGGGAGGGAAGGCGGATGGGCCCCGGCACAGCCCAGGAGCAGTGGGGTTTAGGGCAGTGAGGACTGAGGGGTGTAGGCCCAGCACTGCCACAGGCGGCCTGGGACACGGATTCATGCTGTCCCTGCGGTGCCTGGGCAGGGGGCACAGGGTGGGCTGGGGGCTCGCGGGCCCAGCGGCAGGAGGAACGTGAGGTCTTCGGGGCAAGACCCCAGTCCTCCCTGCTGCCGTGACTGGGGTGGGGTTCTGCCCCCCGGCCTGTGCCCCCTTGTCTACCAGGCTGGCCTGCCCTGGGAGCCTCCGACGCCCGGCAGCCCCTGGCCCAGAAGAGGATGGGTGCCGCCCACTCTGCCTCTCCTGGTTGCCCCTCGTCTGGGCCTTAGCTGGGTGGCCTTGACTGGGCCTTGACTTGGCCTTAGCAGGCAGCAGGCGGGTCTTCCCTAGGCCCGGCCCTCCTCCCCCAGGACAGGTCGGTCATGAGCAGGGCAGCTGGCCCAGGCCAGCCCAGCCTCTGGGGGCAGAATGCTGTGAGGAATGTGCCCCCTCCGCTGGGAAAGGTCAGTCTTGAGGGCTGGTCCTTGGGGACTGCAGCTGCACGCCAGGGGCCTGGAGCTGGGTGACGGAGGCAAGGAGGGCTAGACCTAGGCTTGGGGACCTGCATCCTTCAGCCAGTGCTGGGAGTCGCAGCAGAAAGGGGCCCAATAGGCCCCGGGTTGCCCGTGGGCCAAACAGGCCTGGCCAGGCAGTCCCGCCCGGCTTGGCTCTAGGGCGCCAGCCCACAGGGAGCTGGGTGCTGGGGGGCAGGATACTACTGCTTCCGTCCCACCTCCAGGCCCACTGGGACCTCAGGAATCCCCTCGGAGTTCCCCTGGAGTACGAGAGATGTGGGGTGAGATCAGGGCCTTCTCCTGGGGCACAGGCTGGGATGGGGCAGAGCATCCAGCCTGCGGAGGGGGGTAGGGAGACCTCCTGGTAGGGCCTGAGCGTGCGCCCCGGTGGGTGGTCCCATGAGGACCACCCCAGGCCTTACAGCTGTGGTCTTCAGGTCCCCAGGGAGACCACCTGTCTCTCCTGCCTGCCGTTACTCAGCTGGGGCGTGGGGGCTGGTGGCCTGGGGCCTTGGCCGACACTGCCACCTGCCTGGTCCCCTCCCGGTGCCCGGCCGGGAGTTCCCTTTGCCTAAATCCTCTGGCCAGCTGGGCCGGATCCAGGCTTGGATTAGCGCAGGGATTGGGCAGAGGGTGGGTGGGGCGGGCAGAGGCCCTGCAGCTTCCCCACCTCAGGCCCTGGGGCGTTGCTTCTCCTGGGACCCCTTTGTGGCCCTGGGGGCGGGTGGGCTGGCTCGGGGGCCATCGGGGACAGCAGGTGAGAGGCCAATGCCAGAGGCGCCTGGGAGCAGCCCTGCGGGGGCCTCGGTGGGCAGTGAGGGGGAGGAAGAAGCCGAGGAGAGAAGGGGGCCCCCTGGAACCCCCGGGCTGCCTGCCACCGCCTGACCTGCTGCTGAGGTGGGGCTGGGGGCTGGCCCTCTCTGGCCTCCGTGAGCCCACCCCTGGCCATCATCGGGGCATGTCTGTCCCCTGGCCATTTAACCCCAGCCGGACCAAGGGAATGGTGGCCTGCCAGGCGGAGGCCCTCCTCTGGGTCGGTGGCAGCGTGGCTGTGTCCTCGCAGTGGCAGCTTGGCCCACTAGGTGAGGGAGCAGCCCTGTCTGGTCATCTGGGGCAGGGCCGGCCTGCTCCTCCCTGGCTAGAGCCCCACCCAGCCCCCGGGTCACTGGGCTCAGGAGATGGGGGGGCGCTGCTCCTGGGGTTGTGAAAGGCCTGGTGGCTCCCACCCCACCTCCATGCAAACCTGTAGCCTCCTGACCCCTTGGGTCTCCCTCTGGGAGTCACGGGACTCTGGCAGCATCTCCCGGTGCGCCTCTCTGACCCCCCCGCTCAGGGCCTGGAGGCTGAACCCCAGGGGGGCAGTAGGGAAGGAAGGGGTGGGGGAGTCAGGGGTAAAGGAGGGGCCGGGGCCATGGTCCTGGTGGATGTGCGGCTGGACACTCCCTGAGGGGGTCCCTGTTACTTTGGGGGGCAGTGGCACCTTCGGCCCAGGTGTGGTGAGGCCAGCATGCTGGTGCCAGACGTGTCGGCCCTTAGAGGCCGGCAGAGTGCCCGACACTGCCGTGAGACTCTGGAGGGTAGAGTGTCTGTCTTGGCGGGGCCCCTCCGGCTCTCTGTTCCAACTGGCAGATGGGGCCTGGCCCAGGTACCGCCTTCCAGAACCTGGTTCTAGGCCTCGGGGGCCCACCCCGTCCCCATCCCCGGCCTCTCCCCTCCCACCTGCTACCTGCGTCCTGGCAGCCATACCGCGTCTTTACCTCCTGATGTCTCCCCTGGAGCCCAGCCTCCCTGTGCACGGCTCCCCTCTGTGCCCCCCACCCAGTGCCTGCAGTTCAAGGTCAGAGGTTGGCTTCCTCTGAGAAGTCCTCACTGCCTGTTCCCTCGGGCTGACACTGCCCATGGGCCTCCACACACCGCCTGAGGGTTCCTCGTCGGGGGGGCCTCGTGGGTTAATTACTTGGTGCTTCACCAGTTGGTACTTCCTGGGTCCCGGGCTTTCTAAGCAAGCAGTTGTGAGGGGCCGGAGTGGGGCCAGGACAGACCCGTCCCTGGGACTTCTGGAGGGCCTGCTGCCTCTCCAGCCTGGCCAGCCATGGCCTCCCCTGGTACCTGGGAGATACACAAGCTGCAGACAGGAGGCTGAATAGATGGAGGAGGAGGGGAGGGGAGGGGGAGGGGAGGGGAG